AGGCTTCTACTCACAAATTCCTCCCAGGCTTATCTCAAGTTTGGGTCTCCTACTCCTCATCTTACAGGGTATTTGTTTTGCTAATGGGGTGCTCTTCCCAGTGTGGGATCTGTCTTCCATTTTCCAGAGGCCCTCTTTCACATTGTCCTGCTCAGCAGCTCTGTGACAACACCATGCTCAGATGCTCAACAGCACTAGAGCTCAAAGTTGAGGAGTGTGTGCCTTGCTAAAACTTTAGGGAAAAGGTCATGCATAGGGGCAAGGAAAACCTCTTAATGCCATTAGTATGCAGTATCCCGAGGAAGACATGGTTGAATCAGGCAGCCTCCTCAGCTGGGCTTGGCTCACAGCTACCAGGAAGAGCAAGAGCAGCACATGGTAGTGCTGTTTAAAACTGGTAGCTTCTGCAGTACAGACCGTGTGAAATCCTGGGATGAAATCCTGGGATGAATGTCTGCATGTTCTGGGGTGTCTCCAGATGGGAAGGGCTGCTACTCCCCTGCACCAGCCTCCTGTCCCTGCTATCATGCTTGGCGCACCTAATAGCAGCCTTCTAGTAACTACAAGGAGATTATCAAGAAGATGGAATCGGGCTTCTCACAGTGGTGCATGGCAGGAGGATGGGAGACAGCAAGCATAAATTGAAAAGAGAGATTTTGACTGGGTGTAAGGAAACAACTTAAGGACAACTGCAAGGACAACTTCTTCCACATGAGGACAGTCAAGCAGTGGAAGAGGTTGTCCACAGAGGCGGGGCAGTCCCCATCCTTGTCGGTTTTCAAGACGAGGCTGCATAAAACCCTGAATAACGTGGTCTGACTCTTAGCTGACCCTGCCTGGAGCAGGAGGGTGGACTACAGACTTCTGAAGGTCTCTTCCAGCCTGAATTATCCTATTCTATGAAAATGAAGCAGAGTTCTGTCATCTCCATGACATAGAACTGTTATCTGACCAACAAGCAGTGATTTCCTTCCCTTGGGTTGTATGGGCAGCTACACACCAAGGACTTGTGAAGGAGAGCAGCCTATCCCTTCAACTGTGGAGCTGATTTCAGTGACTCGTTTGATGAAGATGCCTTCCAAACTGACTCTTGAGACTGGAAATGATCATCAGTGAGGAAATGGAAAAAATACTATTTGCCGAAACTGTATGCCCGTGACTGCAGGTACATGAGTTCAGACAGTCAGAATAAGCATGACTCTGGGAAAGATTAATCATCTCTGCATTTAGTGAGGGAAGACAAGCACTCAACTGGCAAAGAGCCATCTATAGACAGGAAGCACAGTGTACTGAAACGTGATCTAGTGGAAGGTACCCTGCACATGGCAGGGGGGTTGGAACTAGATGATCTTTAAGGTCCCTTCCAACTCAAACCATTCTATGATTCTATGATTCTATCGTTGAGCAGCATGTCAAAGACACTAAAAACATAATGAGGAAATTGTGAAGCACTTAGCATGGAGAATTAGCACAGAAGAGTGTTTAGCATGCAGCTCGTTTTACATAAAAATACGGGACTGGAAAGTGTATAAAAGCACATCTGCAAAACTTCTGTGATGTGTAAGCACTGAAAAGCAGCGCAGCTTTTCTCTAGATCAGCATTAAATACACGCAGCCTTTTTGTTCACAGCCTTGACATCGCACTAGCAAAGATTGACACGGTTGTAATAGTGTGTAATATGAACTGCGTGCAGTGGAAACTAAGTGCTGTTTAAAAGCAAGAGTAATTAATCATTGTAAGGTACACTCATTGTCATAGACAATGGTATTTACAGTTATCCCCTAATGTGAAACCAATTACTTCACCTTCCAGCCAATGAACTGTTCTTGTACCTCTCTTCTCCTGCATTTAAGACATGTTACTAACTCCTGGTTTTTGTTACACAGGTAACTGTATCACATGACCAACTCTTTTTTTTTTTTCGTCAGCTAAATAAACAAAGGCCTAAGTCTTGCTGTACAGTATTTTCTCCAACATCTATGCATTTGAAATCCTCTCCAATAAAACAAACAGACCTATTATAATATGGAAAGCAGAACTATTATTCCAACACCTGTCTCACAGTCATGCAAATTAGTGCCTTCGATGTGTCTGTTTCTTCAGCCAACAATTACATTCCCTCTTGCTCTGCCACTGCAGAACCATTATGTTCAACTGCTTGGCCACTGCCATGCCCAAATCTTTCCAGCATCCCTTTGGAAACCCCAGTTCTGTCTCCAGAACTCACGTTCTCTGCTCCTAGATTCCTGCCAATGCCCCGTGCTTGGATGTGCCTGTCTGCTCAGGCACCTGGGGTCCCCAGCAGCCTGACTCACTTGCAGAGCCACTCAGTGGTCATTTCGTACATAGCTTCAGAGGGCTAGTGGGAATTGTGAGTACTGGCACAGGACACGAGCCCCTGTGAAATGCCCACAGCATCTGAGGATTGTCTACATTAAACCACTTAAAAGGTGTATGTCTCCCATTGCCCACACTGTTACTGCCTTTAAATGGCTGCCATGTAAAGCAAAGCTGAAAAACCTCGTGCATCAAGTCTCACAGATGTACAAAAGCCTCTACCAAATTTGTAATCGCAAAGAATTAAATACTTTCTCTTTGACCTCTTTGCCCCAGAGCCCCAGCATCTATCCTTGTCAGCATTCCTACCTTGTACTAACCCAATCCTCAGGCTTCTCCACCATGGCCAGTGTTGGGGAGCCAACCCCAGAATCATGGAATATCTCAGGTTGGAAGGGACCTGTGATCATCCAGTCCAACTCCCTGCTCCTCACAGGTCTACTTAAAACTAAACCATATGACTAAGAGCATTGTCCAGACGCTCCTTGAACTCTGACAGGTTTGGTGCCATGACCACTTCCCTGGGGAGCCTGTTCCAGTGACAGACCACCCTCTCAGTGAAGAACCTTTTCCTCATCTCCAATCCGAACTTCTCCTGCCGCAGCTTCATCCTGTTGTAACATCCATGGCTTGCTCCACTTTCTCTCTGTGGATGGTATAGCAGGATTAACCTGTCTGAGCCCTAGCTCTGTGGACTTGTTTAGTGTAACAGCTGCTGTGACAACAGGTCTGGTATGGTGTGGTGTAGGTAGTGACTAACATACTAATACCATGCAGTTATTTTCTTATCTACAACCCTTGAATAAAATGCAGTGTAGCAGGGTAGAAGCACGGTGGAAAGACCCCAAGTTGAAAACACAGGCCCCAAACCCCTGTCCAAGGCAGCACAGGGGTTCACTGCTGAAAGTGATTGTAAGGATTACCCATATTGCTGCTGCTCCCATGCATAGCCATACTGTGTTGCTTCTGCTGCTTTAGGTAAGCTATTACCATGATTAAGAAAGGGTGTAGCTATAGTGCCAAGCATTCATATATGGCTGTACTTTATACATGCAGACATGTATTTGAATTCATGGTCTCTTGGTTAACCAATGCATCCACCTTAGCTAAAGGAATTGCCTGGACTGGTATTTCTTCCCTGCCTCTCCCTTTTTAGTTGACTGGTGTTTTGGTAACCTAGTCTGTAATGTGGATGCAGCAAACAGGTAACAGTGTGTTGTGGTTTAGCCCCAGCCAGCAACTAAGCAAGCAACTAAGCAACTAAGCCAGCAACGAAACCAGGACACAGTGGCAGCACTTCATGTGTGCCTCTGGCTTTCTGGCATTTCCTCAGAATCTACATATTTTATAGGCAACACAAGCAAGCAGAGACTTCATCAGATAGCCCTCAGTAGTGTGGGAGAAAAGTGGGCCTGACCTGCAAATCTACAGAGTGGACAACAAATTTCAGGAGTTGTTTCATATCCTCAATTTACTGCAATAGACTCACTGTCCTGTTTCATTTGCAGCAGGCAAGCAGTCATGAATGAGTTCTGGTTTTCTTGCTTCACTGTACCACCTCTAGCACTCTGCACATTTATTAGCATCAGTTTCTTTGTTTCTAGACCACATCCACTTCTTGCTCTTGATTTTGTCTGTCTTGGATTTCTCTCCACGTCTAACTTCAGCTTTAAATGGAAGCATGCTCTGAGCCAGACGCACCACAGTGACAGAACCAGAGGGCATTATGTCTTTTCTAGAAGATGACTCTTAACTCTTCTTTTATATGTTTTTTACCTCGAGACAACTCTACTTTGGATTTCTGCCCTATGGAAGCCAAACCTTTATAACCCAGCAAGTGCCACAGCTGGGCTGCATTGCTTTTGCCAATCCTGGGTGCAATACAATCCACATCTCCAGGAACTGTAAATGCCCCGGGGCAACTGCCCAGAATTTACCAGCTTCCAGAAACAATTCCATGTTTGGGTGTGACACCCATCTATAGCAAACCACCCTTGGAGCACACGTGGTCGTGCATACTCAGCAGCCAGGTTGATGACAGGGTGTGTCGGGGGTAATGGTGCCCCTCCTTTTGCTATTCAGCCCTTGTGCACACAACATGGCAACTCTGGCAGCTGGTGCTCCATGGGGAAAAAGCCAGGCTCCAAGCCAAGTGTCTGTCATGACTCTGAAAGCACCGCTGGCCTGCAGCAGCAGAGAGGAAGGCTCAAACACAGGCTGCAAGGTCCACAGACAGCCCACACACAGGAAGCCTACGTGCATGCCAGAGCACTTGAGGATGGGGGCGAGAGGGATTTTGGCTGCAGCCCTCCCGTAATAACAGGACAGCAGCATGGGGGGGCTTTTCCTCCCACGCCTGCTATGTGGTGCACCAGCAGCCTGGTGCAGATTGCATGCTCCACACCACTGCGCACATTGTCCTCACTGAGCATGTCGCCTGTGTTCTGTCCTCTGGCTGGTGCCTAGGGCACAGTCTCCCCACCCTGATCCCAGTGTGCCCCACTGCGCAGCCAGGCAGGAACAAACATGTCCCAGCAGGATTACAGATGTTTGGCCCCAAACGGGACAATTCCAGCTCCTCCAAACTGTATGGTACAAGCTGGGGTACAATCCAGTGACAACCGCATAAGCAGATTAAATTTGTTAGCAAAGCTTTACTTACATGTCCAGGTTGCTTGAAAATGGCTTGCTCTAAAAATGCTTAGTCTTCCTAGTTACACTGCAGGGTTTTCTCCTGGGGGGAAAGATGAGTAGGATTAATAACTGGTGACCTTTCCTCAGGGTGAAGAACTCTAACCTTGTGTGAGAAGCACGAGAAAACAGGCCAGAGATAGTATGCCACTTAAAATGATAAAAAAGTCCTGCTCTTACTGCTCTCTATTTTCTCCCTGCTTATTTTCCATGAATTTTCAGTATTAATGCGTATTTTCAAAATTAATTGCATATTTTCTAAATAGGAATATGTATAAAACTGACATTAAACCTATAGCTAGAGTATTAATGCAACATTTTCTAAACTCCTATGACAAAGGAAGCAAAGGTGGCCACTGACTGTTTTCTAGCTTGTGCTCTGTGGTCCAGCTCTTCTACAGTGAACAAATTCCTTCTCTCTGGAACACGGGGGAAGACAGATTTCAGAGAATGTTACCAAGTAGGTCCTTAACAGGAAATTGAACTTTTCTGAAAGCCCCCCTCAGACTCTCTCAAAGGTTCAGATTTCTGCAAAAGATACTGCATTTCCACAACAGCCTTGGAGTGATGCACTCCTCTTCCCTTTCTTTCCCGCACCCTGATCTCCTAGTTTCAGATCTTTCTTTACACACAGTAAACAATCCAGCATTGTGCTACTTGCTGGTCCAGCATAACCTATGCTGTCTCACTGGCATGCATTACAGCAGGGACTAATGTCATGCTGGAAATATTAGGAGTGACAGAGTCTTCACAGAAGTCTGTCTGTTTCTATGGCTGTTATGTGAAATATTGCCACTCATTTATCTGCCTCATCTTCATTTTCCTTTCCAGAGAGGATTCACTCCTGCCAGCAGTTGTAACTCTGTTTAGGGTATGACTTGCGTTCACATCTGCCCTTTATTAAAGGAACCATCCAGAAATGCTCGGTGCCACTGAAGCTGCTTGTGCCCTTGTTGGGATAGGAAAAGCTGGAGAAAAATTGGTACACTGAAATACCCTTCTCTGTTGCAGGGGATGCCCTTGTCTGTTGCTCTTAGGGAAGGACGATCCAAATATATGCAACACATACCTGATCAAGTCCTTCCCTGCAACTGGCTTCCTTCTCATCTACAAATCTTGATCTGTGCAGTGGAAGGAGAGCGCTTAAAAGCCAGCTGGCTCCTGGTAATGGCGTGTGTCAGCATTACCTGCTAGGCAGGGTTGTCCCGTGCCAGAAGGGATGCCTTCTTCTTGTTTTTGTCCTGCTCTAGGATTGTGATACGCCCATCTGCATGTGCCTCTCCAGCCATGTTGGCAGCGTGACACTGGTAGACCCCCTCGTCTTCCTTCATTGGTCAGTCAATCTGGCAAAACCATCACAGAAAATATTTTATTATTAACATGCACATACATTCTGGAGAGCGCCCTGGAACCACTCTCACAATTAAGAACATCTTTAGTTTTCTAATTTGCCATTTGTTCAAAATAGGCACAAAATACTGCTTCTCTGTACAGTTATGAGTGCAATCTGCTCTGTGTGGCATATCTGCCTGGAAGGTCCTCCACGGTTCTTCTCTCACTGCTTTCACCACTTAAACTTTGTCACTTCTCACTACCACCAGGACCTTTGGCTGGTGCCTATCCAAGCCTGTCCTTGTGTACTTGCTCTGCTGAACTTACCAAAACCCACCCTGTGCCTTCATGCTCCGAATGTCCTCCCAGAACTTGAACAGCCATGTTTGGTCTGTCTCCAGGCAGCTCCTCCAGGAGTTTGACTCCTTTGTCTGACTCTGAGACCTGCATATTTTCACAGGAGTGCAAAGATGTTAGAGGACATCTGTGAAATCCATTAGAAGCGTTCACTCGTGATGACGTAATTCCCTCTGTCCATGCTATCACTGACATGTTTGGACAGGCAGGCAGAGGAGCTGCATGCAGTGCTAACAGCAGGGAGGAGTGAGCTAAGAGCTCACTGGACAGGTGCTCTCTGCAGCTCCAGGGAAATGCCCTGGTGAAATACACCTCTTCCTGCAAACGCCCAGCCACTGCCAAAACTCTCTGATCTTACTACCCCTGAATCTGAGCCCTACTCACTCCTAAGAACACCTGAGCTCACTTAGTCTCTCAGTGCAGCTCCTGGGTCAATGGTGAAGAGCAGAACCCTTCTGTCAGAGGTACTGGGCTTTGGATACCTGTGAGCACTGATCAATGTGCCCACTGTTCAGCACCCTCCTGTGCTGCAGCACTGTCCCCTACAGGCCCAGTTCTCTAGGTAGCTAAAGGGCTGAGGAAACCTCACTTTCTTTGGAATCTTAAAGCTTTTAGGCAAATTTTGCTGTGCAGTGTGGCTCTGAAATGCCTCAGGCTGATGTCATCACAGAGCAACCCACTTTCAGACACAGACGTAAAACTGCACAGCAAACCAGTAGCACCAAGTAGACCCTGTTTTACTAGATGTACAGGTAGTTGTCTGCTGGGCGTACATCACAGTAGTGGTTTTGACTGCTAAGACCATTCTCTAATTTGCAGCGCTTGACAAGGCACTCTGACATTGTTCATTACCTTAAATTACTGTGAGAAGGTGCTTGGATTCATGAGACCCTTTGGGGAGATGAGGACTAGACCCTGCCACGAGCTGTGCACAGATGGGCACTGCAGGCTGCGGAAGTGTTGGAAGAAACTGTCCCTACACTGCTTTCGGTGTGTCATCAGTGCATCGACAGTGAATCGAGTTACTTGAAATGCGGTACAGCAACACGGAATGTGAGCACTGGAATGCAGAGCCATGTCTGCTGTTAGATACTGAAAGTGGCCCTGCTGTATGAGATCCCCAGCACACCTTTCTCCAGGTGATGACAGGAGTGGGCACTGCCTTCACTTCACAGGGCAGGTACACCTGGGCCACAGTGACATGGTGGATTTTCTTTAGTCACACAACGGTCACAGGACCTGGAAGAAAATAAACACTTTCCTGGAGGTGATGTGGCCACCTGGCATGGCTAGCGTTCCCTGTGAACTCAGCCCTGGGCCTCCCATCCCAAGCCATGTTGGAGAAGTGCAGATTTCCAGCTGGGCCATAGCCACAGCCATGCCTGTGCCTGGCTGTGGACCCTGCCCGTCCAGCCCTGTCAGTCTGACTTCCCAGCCTGGCCTTGGGTGCGCACTGTCACCACGTACCTACCTGGCAATCATGGGATGCCACCTTGACACGCTGACTGACTTTTGAGCTTGACCTCAGACCTGCCTTATGACCACCTGCTTGCCTGGTGGCCGCAGCTCCTGGCTGAACCCGGCTGCGCTCTCTGGGTCTGCCCCGTTTGTGCCCCGCTGGTCCCGCAGGATGGGCCCTGCACACCCCACTGCCTTATCCCCTTGGCTCCCCATCCCTCAGGAGCTCTCACCACCCCCGGCTGAATGTGGTTTTGCAAAATAAATGAGCAAACCAGCCCATCCACCAGAGAAAGGATCCAATGAGGAACAGGACCCCAGAGAAAGGATCCAATAAGGAACAGGACCCCAGATCCAAATATTGCTACTGGACCGAACTGCTGCATGAGGGGAGGAGAACTTAAATTCTAAGGGTATAATTGCCCAGGGATTCCTTTGTTCAGGGTCCCTCTCTGGAGGCACCAAGCTCGAGCTGTTTTTCACTGCTGTACCACTCAATAAATTCTGGTGTATGTCGTGTCAGAGACTCTGCTTCAGGGAAACCTAGGGTCAAACCTGAGGGGAGAGAAAGTGCCCAAGAGTGAGCATGCATGTGAGCGAGGAGTCGAAAAGGGGCACCCATCAGCTCAGTGGAGCTGCCTGCTGTGAAGGGACTCCCGTCCTAGCAGCTAAAGTCTCGGGTGGTGTGTGTGCGACTCCCTGAACGCTGTGTGAACGCTCAGGCAGCGGCTTCTCCTTTAACACAGGGTATGAAAACTTTGTCCCACAACTCTCACCCTGTCCTGCTTCTCTGTAGAGCCTTTTGATCCTCTGAACTGTGTTGTTCTTACAGACATTTGGGCTGTTATGAGAAGTCTAACACTCACATATCCAAGTATTCCCCATTGTTTGCAACTTTTTTCAAATCTGGCAACAACAGTTTTGGGCTTGGCTTATTTTCCATCTGTCAAGTTCACTTCCACATCCCTGCAGCACAGAAAAGCCATTCTATGTGAGCTGGAAAGTAACACAGTCTTTATTCCCCCTGCCTTATTAGGCCATTTTATACTGCGTGTATCAGCGCCGTTGCTCTTAAGTTACTTTGGCTGGAGAGCAGCCAGTGCTGAGGATCCCCTGTTGACTCTTGGACTGAGGATCAACTGGATCATCTAAAGACAAAGAAGGAAAGGAGGCAATCTCAGCCATGCCATTTCCACTGTTTCATGGCTGCTTAGATGCAGCTCACATTTTCAGCTGTTTTGTTTCCCAAGCCCCTAATCTTTGGTCTAAAGGTCTTTCCAGGAACTCCTCTGAAGCATGCATCCCATACATGCACATAAAGGTCCTCCCTGCCCAGTCAGTCACACAGTGACCCTAAGCCTTGCTGTCTTCAGCCATGGGGACAGAGTCTCTCATGTCAGCTATCCCCTGGAATAACCAGACATTCCTCCATCTGTACTGCACTCCCACACTAAAAGCACATAAAAAAATCTCTAATTTGTTTGCACTAAGTGATCTCCCTTTCTGGGAGACACAGAGCAAATGAACATGGAAGAAAATGCAATTTAATATTGCAGAGAAAGCAGAGCGGGTAAGAGATCAGTAGGCAAACCTTGCATGGGCTGTACTGAAGAGAGGAGTGTGACAGGGGAGGGAAGCCGTGCTGGGGCAGAGACTGGGAAACAGCACCTGACATCAGTGCCTTTCAAACTGATGATAACTTGAAGCACTTGGTTGCTCTCTCACTGTCTGGCTCACATTATCTGTCCACACTTCCCTGCTTTGGTAAAACAGGATTCTGGCAGCTGCTCCACTACACGGTACCAATCAGGTATCTCACTGGGCACACTGGCCCCGGCATCGCTGAGTTCTCTTACCCTCATTTGCCAGGGTAAGGGGAAGCTGTTAGTGTATCAGAGGAACAGATCATTGAAGTATCTCTGATTCAGGCATTTGCCTATCAAATGCAGCATAGACCGCTTTGGATTCCATGGAAATAGCAATTGCATTGGAGAAATACTCATGGGGAGGGGTTGTTGACCTACACAAAAGTACAATGTACTATCAGGAGCCTTCTGCTCAGTGATGAAGACCTGACCTCCTATCATCTGTGCTCAGACTACTGACATTGAGAGCTACCAGAAACCAGTGGCTGCTCAGTCATCCTCACTAAGGACCTGTATCTTTGGTTTACAGGTCCACACTTGCACTGAAGCCAGATGAACCAGACGTAAGCTGGGAACCTATCCCTAGTAAGCTATTGTTCTTGCTTGCCTGAACAGCAATCTCCCTGTCTGAAAATTAAGTGCAGCTTCATAATGACAGACAGTCTGAGCTCCTCATTTTGTTAAGAATTAACATCCACAGATGTATGAAGATTCCTGGATGGTGAGTTTTCTGCTTGTGAAGCTCTGTTATGGGAAAAAGATCACAGATGTTTTCACTGCTCAGGAGTGAAAGCCCTTTTTATTTCAACAAGTTGCAATAAATGTGGAACTGGTGGCTATTTTGGAAAGCAACTGAAGTTTCTATGTGTGTTCCTGTTCATCATCATCTCAAATCTCACTCACAGCCAGCGCTACTTCCGTGCCTCTCCAGTGAGTTTTTTTACAGGTACTACTTTGAGGACCACACCACTGTGGTGCAGGCTTCCTATTGGCTTCATCAGGTGTTCAGAGAGGTACAGAATTTGTTTGAGGTTTTTTCTGTACGTGCGTTATGGATGGCTGCCAGAAACATGACATTTGCCTTTGGAAACATGTTCTGCTGATGCAGAGGGGGAAATGATAATGAGAAATGAGCTTCCAGGCCATTGGCTGTTTCTGAGGTGCTTCTGTGTAATGGTTCCATACAAAATGCTCCATAATTCCCTAATATGACAGAAGTTAGTGGATCTGTGTTATTAAAGGCATGCAAAGAACATTAAGTGATTGCATTCACTTTGTTAAAGAGTGGAAAAAATCCAGGAGGGCGAGAGTTTGCTAAACAGAAGTGATTATTTCACTGGTATTCTGTCATACTATACAGCTTTTTGCTAGGTAGTTGGAAGCACAACATAAAGCTGTAGATTTAATCTGGTAATGCCTATATTACCACATTTAGGCAGCAAAGAAAGAATGTAAATCAAAGCAAGGATGGCAGCAATAGGAAAAAAAAATATCAGCTTTGTTAATACAGAAGTAAAGACACTCACTGTGATTTTGCCATTTTAAAATCTGCCTCCTGACAAATTAACTTTAAAATGTGCACTTCTGTGCCTGAAATCACCAGCAACAAGTCACTGTAAACAAAACAGCAGATCATCTTTGTTCTTCTGCCAATTAACAGAGTGCAAAGCCAGGTTGGATGCACTAGAACATCCTGATCTTAAATACAATCCACAATCTTGGTAAATCTTCAGTCTCTGATGGATGCTTTTTCATCCACCAAATGTTTCTGTACCTTCTCTCTCCAATGACTTCCCCTTCCTCCTGTTAGAAAGGGGTTCACCGCTCCAGATCTTTTATGCAATAAGCTTGAGGACTGTAAATAGTACTGTTTTCTTTCCCATGCACGACATATGTGCCCCAATGGTATCCAGGGACAAAACCAGTGCCATCAAAAATGCAGAAGGCAAATGCAGATGATAAAAGACAAAATGAAAGTTGCTGAAATCAAACAAGACAACAGACCCTGATGCACCAATTCTGAAGAAGGCCTGGATAAGCTGCCAGCTGATCCAGGACATGTCAAGCTTCAGGGCCAAAAGGGAGTGAGAATTTCACAGCCAAGGGAAGTGCCAACACAGTTCAGCACTGACTGTGCGATCCCCAGCCCCTCCAGGTGTCTGCTGCCTGCTGCTGTCAGCAGCTGCTGTATGTAAGTGTTCTGGGCATGAACACGGAGGGAGACGTCTGCGCAGACACCAGATTACACTGCACCTCTCAACAGCAAGGCCCACCAGCTCTCCTTCCTGGTGGACACAGGCAACACACCCCAGATGCTCAGGCCTCACAGGGGCACAGCCCCCAGGAAAATTCCATGTATGGGTACTACATGTACACCAACAGTGGCTGTTGCAATACACATATTAGAAGGGCAACGAGGCTGGTGAAGGGTCTGGAGCACAAGTCTGATGGGGAGCAGCTGAGGGACCTGGGGTTCTTTAGTCTGGAGAAGAGGAGGCTGAGGGGAGACCTTATCGCTCTCTACAACTACCTGGAAGGAGGGTGTAGTGAGGTGGGTGTTGGGCTCTTCTCCCAAGGAACAAGCAATAGGATGAGAGGAAATGGGCTCAAGCTGTGCCAGGGGAGGTTTAGGTTGGATATTAGGAAAAATTTCTTCACAGAAAGAGTGGTCAAGCATTAGAACTGGCTGTCCAGAGAGGTGGTAGAGTCACCATCCCTGGAAGTGTTCAAAAAACGGGTAGATGTGGCACTTTGGCACATGGTTTAGTGGGCATGGTGGTGTTGGGTTGATGGTTGGACTGATGATCTTAGAGATCCTTTGCAACCTCAATGATTCCTAGTTTTTACTTTCATTAAAAAATAATCCAGCCACCAAGCCAGGAAACATGAAATTGCTATGCTCCCCTTAATTGGTTTAGTGGTGGACTTGGTAGTGTTAGGCTAATGGTTGGACTGGATGATCTTAAAGGTCTTTTCCAGCCTAAACAATTCTATGATTCTATATTCAACAGCAGAATTCTGCTACTGGCAAAAAAGCATTTCCACAGCTAGGCACAATACAGAAATTTCTGAAATGTAGAAAGTGGATTATTAAAAATAGTGAGGTCTCTGACAACAAGAACATGTCTTTGTCGAAGTTTATGACAGGTTTTTAGTAATGATATTTGTTATCCTGATAGCAGCTGTCCTCCAACTAGTTGCAGTTTTAGACCTTTTTTCATGAAAGATTTTAAAATAAATAAGAAAGTGCAGAATGTAAAAGTAGAAGGCTTTCTTTGTGCGTTGCTAACAAGAGGAAACCATAACTGGATTTGTGCGTCACCCATTGCACGAAAGGATAATGCTAGTGATCTATGCTACTCAGTGTTCAAATAACAGTTCTAATGCAGAACATTAAATAGCTTACTTCAGCTAACCACAGCTTTGTATCTGAAACTGAATGGCATTTGTAGCGGCTCCCTTTGTATTTTTTACAAAGCGGTATTCTAGGCCTCCCTTAGTTACTAAACGTGTCACAAACATGAAGCAATACATAGTTGAAGTCCTTTCTCCCATGTTTTCCCCATTTACAACCAGCCTTTTCAATGACAAGGTTATGTAACAGGCGTAGCTTTTTCTGGGTCTGCCTTGTTCAGAATCCAAAGGAATTGGTAATTTTGTCTGAACACAGCTGATACATTTGCCAAACAAGAACCTACTAGGCATGTGCAACCATTCACTTAAATTGCATTAATCTTCTGCTTGGGATTATCTGATGTAGGAACAGAGCAGAGAGGCATCCTGGGAGGGGCTGAGTTCAGCAATGAACAAGTTACAGTCCTGGCATCTGTGACAAAACAATTCCCAAATAAACAGCAGCCATCTCTATTCGGTCCCCTCCCTGAGAGAGATGCTATTCAATGGAGATAAAAGTGCTTGGGGTGTCTTCACTGACCACCTTCTCCGAGCCTCGGAGGACAGGGAGTGTGCAGGTCAAAATGCCTTCCTTACTTGTCCCACGTCCCTAAGGAATGTTGGTTTTCCCTCCAAGGCAAAGGCTGTCCTGTGATCATTCCTGCATGCCCCCCCCATTCCCTAATGGTAAATATGCCTACTATTTGCTGTGCATAAAGTAGAAATAACAACCCATGAAATAGAAAAGACAGTTGTTGCCCTTTGCTGAAGCTCAGGCTCCTGTAAGTCCCTCCAGACATTACTAGGAACCTTCTACCACCAGCGGGCTTGGTTTCATCTGCCACATGAGAGCCTGCACCTCCCTTTAGGAGCTGCCAGAATATCCCTCGCCAGCTTGGGCTTACCCAGTGCACAGCTCCACACCTCAGCTCTGCAGACCACATGCTTTGCAGTGAGTCTATCCAGCCATGACCCAGCAGCTGGAGAAGACGTGGGCAGGTGACCCAGCAGCCAGCGCATTTGGAAGTGCTGCCCAGCCTGCCCTGGGTGGAGATGGTCTCACTGTCATAGAATCATAGAAACATAGAATCCTAGAATGCCTTGGGCTGGAAGGGACCTTTAGAGGCCACCCAGCCCAACCCCCTGCAGCAAGCAGGGACAGTTTTAACCAGCCCAGGGTGCTCACAGCCCCGTCCAACCTGGCCTGGGATGGTGCCAGGGATGGGGCCTCCACTGCCTCTCTGGGCAACCTGTGCCCGGGCTCAACCGCCAGTGCTTCACCACCCTCACTGTACAAAATTTCTTCCCTATATCCAGTCCAAGTCTCTTCTTCTTTAGTTTAAAACCATTACTCCTTGTCCTGTCACAACAGGCCTTGCTGAAAAGCTTGTCCCCATCTTTCCTGTAGGCCCCCTTTAAGCACTGAAAGGCCGCACTAAGGTCTCCCCGCAGCCTTCTCTTCTCCAGGCTGAACAACCCCAACTCTCTCAGCCTGGCCTCACAGGAGAGGGGCTCCAGCCCTCGGATCATTTTGGTGGCCTCCTCTGGACCCGCTCCAGCAGGTCCATGTCCTTGTGCTGAGGGCCCCAGAGCTGAACGCAGTGCCCCAGGTGAGGTCTCAGCAGAGCAGAGCAGAGGGGCAGAATCCCCTCCCTCGACCTGCTGGCCACGCTGCTGGGGATGCAGCCCAGGATATGGTTGGCTTTCTGGGCTGCAAGTGCATCTCAGGCTTTGGCAGCAAGCTGGTACCCTGCTGGGGGCTGCTGCCACGAACAGTGCAATAAAAAATGACTGCTGTCCA